AACCTAATTTTGTACTTTTTCTCCATGAAGTTGTGCATTATATTAATTTGATTTCTGGCTCCAACAACAAAAAGGCGGTTAAAACTGTCAACATATGGTCCTCTTTCTCTTTTCAATAACATATAAGCTTCCCCTGGCAAAGCTGTATTTCCCTTTGTTTGTATTTTATATGTTTGTATACTGTTTGTATACAGATATATATATATATATCTGAATTATAAGCCCCTTTTTGCAATAAAGATGACTGAAATTGAAAAAAGGTTCTCTGCTTCCTGTATTTATGGCCCCGCCCACTGGTCCCACCTGTTATTTGGACCGGGTGGTGAGGTTTTTAGTTCCTAGAGCCGGAGACAATTAGCTGTCTCAACGAAGTTAAAGCTAATTCACCTCTGTTTAACTCCAGGGACTCTAATTTATCATTGAATCATGGGTATGTTTTGCACGATTAATTTCTCATTCAAGTAATCTTACTAAGCACGTCTGTATTTGCATATTGTGACACACTAGCGTCTATGGTCGAGCTAGCTAGCTAAAGCTAACGTTCAGATTTCCCTTGATGACTTAAAGCAGCAGTCACTTTTACAGTGTGTAAAAAAAGCAAAGAAATACATTTTGATGTAGTTTCAATATACTATGCATGGAGACGGTAACATTAGCTGGATATTTTTGTGGCTGGTTAAAGGGTTGTTTAGCTTAGAGCTAGCAGCGATTTGTCGGAAACGTTTATGAACGAACACTGACGTGGCGTTACGTTATAAAGAGACTACATGTTTTAACTGGACATTTTTAAGCGGATATAACCCTAAATTGACGATATTGTAATCTAAATAATGATGCTAGGCAGCAGAAAGTCTTTCCAACACTTGCTCTTACTATCTTTAGAAAACCCTCCTCGGTTAAAACTCGGTAGTTAGTAGCTGAAATGAAGTAGATTAAGAGTTAATGTACTGTACTGTGCAGTCTTACGTCTTATTTCGCACCTACAGTGGTGTCTATATTAAATATCTTTATTTTGGATCAAGTCAAGCAGATGAGATCTGTTTAGTTACAGCTGAAGGGATCTGTGTTTGAAAGGATATACAATAAAACTGGCTTCCTTTGCCTTGCAGCGGTGAACACAGGCACCTCTCTAGTGCTCTCCAGTCTGCTGTCAGTGCTGGTATTTGCTGGGATGCAGATGTTCAGTAAGCAGCTGGGATCTACTGAGTGGCTCACCATCCTGGGAGGTTTCCTGGGCTCAGTCCTCTTCATCTGCTCCCTCACTGTATCCTGTTTGTGACAGCATGGATTGAACTGCCTCAATCCACGTTGCTCATCATTAATCTACAGTATTATTTAGTATAACATGTATTATTCAGTGTAGCTTTTGGTTAGTGAATATCCTATGCTGCCTAGCCTTATTTCTTTTTAATAACCTGGTTTCTTGTGTGCATGTAAATGTACAGACCACACTGAGGAGGGTTGCACCTTAACCTTATTTCCAGGCATTTAATAATCTGGAAAATCTGATTTTTGGGAAGGGATTCCAAGCCAAGATATTCCCAGAGAGTAAGTGGCCACAGCACTGAAATCAAACTTTTGCTTAGTGTTTTGATATATATATTCCAGCTCTGTCCTCACTTGTGTTTATCATCCTCTCAATTTCTAGTTCTGTTGTGCCTGTGCCTGTCACTGTTTGCCTCTGGTCTGGTACACCGAGTCTGTGTCACCACATGGTAAGTGACCTCGGGATACTACAAATCCCTACTTGAAGTTCCTACAACCAAGTTAGTCTCTAAATATATTTTATTTTTAAATTTTTCTTTCTTGTTTCTTGTTCCAGCCTGATATTCTCCCTCTTCGCACTGTACTACATCAACAAAGTGTCTGCCGCTCTCTACCAAGCAGCTGTTCCCGCAGTAACACCAGCCAAGGCTGCCAGCAAGGGCAAGAGGAAGAACTGATGAATCTGTTGGATCCCACTTGCATCCAGTTATTCAGTCAATATTATCCAGGCGTCGATGGCCAGTGCAACACAGCAGTTGCATATTTTGTCACAATTATTTCTAACTCGAAGTCATGATCCTTGGTGTATTTCCACAGGCTTTTAATAAAATGGTTTGGGAATATTACTTAGAAAGTAATAATCAGTTCAGTGACTACACATTTGTAACCATTATAATGACATAGTTATTTTTTTACAGTGATCTTGAATTTGAATCATGAAGAAATGTCCCCGCTATATGTAAGGCCATTAAAAAAAGCTAGACAGCTATGTACATTCCACTGATAACCTTTTCCTAAGCACTCTTTTTACACTGGTTGCAACGAGATTCATACATCCCATCATGTTATTTGTGTATTCATCGGCACATCAAGTTGCTTTTTTGTTTAATTCATTTTGTAATTAAACACTATAAAAGACTTTGAATGAGTTTTTTTTTTTATTCTGTGAAACAAATTTTATCCAGTTGGCACACGTCGTCATGTTTGTTCAGAAAGGTGTGGCGGTATCCTAAAATTGTGGCTGTTTAGGAAAAGGCAGGGAGGGATGAAAACCGTAGCTTGTTTCTCTTTCTCTTCCATCAACTGGTCGAAATGCCCCTGATTACGTAACTAAACCGTGGCTACTTCATGGTTGTCAGAAGTAGAGTGGTTGTGGACTAACCCAGGTGTGTGAATGTGTGCTGGGACGTAACATGAACATCTTACTATGATAAATACAATTAGACCAAATATTTCTGAAATGTATGATTGTAATGCACACAGCTTTTACAGTCTTAAAAAGTTTTATTGTTTTTATTTTTTTTTATATTGTTGACAGGTGTTGTTAAGAGATTATAATTGTGTGAGAGTTCAAGATCAACTCTGATGATGGGAACATGGAAGTAGACAGACTGCTTCAAAGAGGGGTGGGTGATGGCTATAATCTTGTCAAGGTGATTCTTTGGGTTGGTAAAAAGTGCCAGTATGACATGGATTTTCATGTAAAAATGTATAATGTTGTATACATTTTTAGATTTGCTTTAGTTTAGGATAGATCAGGTTGTTGTATTGGGCAACTTCGAAGTGTGATTGTGTCCGCGTGAACAGGGCGTTCCTCACAGAAAGGGAAACTTCCTTAGATAAATAAAGGCTATGGAAAAGATGTTTAACTGTCTACCTCTATCAAACTGTTGATGCATGGGAGAGTATGAAATTAAAATGTAAAATGATTTTTTTGTCAAATATATCCAGGGGAGACAGATGTAAAGAAGAAGCCACCAGAGCCTAAAAGACAAAATATGTTACCAAAAGATCTTGACTCAGGCCCAGGCTTGTCCATAGACAGCTGTCCCAGCATCCTACTCAACAGCTTTGTGTCACTTTTCTGTGCTGTTGCCACTTTGATGATGTGATTATGATTCATATTAGAACAACACCTTTGCAAGACATGGCGGTTGGACCTGGGCATTTCTGTCCAGAGATGAAATCATGTTAAAACTCTAGAGAACAGCTATGAAAATGAAAGTGTCAAATTTAAAGCTATGACTTCATCATCTCTATATCTTGCAGCGTCAGTCTCGTGGGAAAACATGGGCAGGGATGGTGTTGGTGCATGACTTTATCCCCTGTGTTATTTGCTCTCTCTCTCTCTCT